CCATCCAACCATTCATCCATCCATTCATCTATCCATCCATCCGTAAATCCATCCATCCATCCATCCATCAATCCATCTATCATCCATCCATTCATCAATCCATCCATTCACCCATCCATCCATCCATAAATCCATCCATCCATCAATCCATCCATCCATCCATGTATCATCCATCCATCCATCCATCCATCCATCCATCCATCCATCCACCCATCCATCCATCCATCCATCCATCCATCCACCCATTCATCCAAGGCACCATCATTAGGCTGATGGTCCTACTTGAGCATGTGATCAGCTGGTTCTGGTTGTCAGCAGCAAAACTGGTTGATCCACTCTGAGAAGGTGCTATTTAAGAGACTGAGCTGAAAACAGCACCTCAGACTGAGGAAGTCTCTCGGATGCGAGACGAAACGTTTCTACATTTTTTTGTTTTGTTTTTTTGAATGTCCAGAGGATTTCTACCTGGATTATTGAGCAGCATCAGGATGGTTCAAGTTAATGTTTCAGTTTATTTTGCTTGTTTGATTTCTCTTGATTATTCTGTACGACTGCTGCATCAGTTTTTATTTCAAGTGAGGGACGTATGTTGTTTATGTTGCTTTCTGAATTTCCTCATCACATTTCTTTACATCAGTATTTGATTTCACCGTCTTCCTTCATCTTGTTTTTCACCCCAGAGCTCAACGGCCACGTTCAAAGATCAGTGTGGGCTTCCCACGGTGGCCAAACTGAAGCAGTGCATCCAGAGCCTGGCCACGAGGTTCCAGAACCCCGAGGGCGCCATGGGAGCCACCATGGTCCTGAGGGAGGGCTACCCTTGTCTGGAGCCGCTGGTCAGCCTCTCAGAGGCCACTCGCAAACTGCTCGCTGCTTACGACACGGTCAGTACGTCACGTAGAGCGTGCACGTGTGTGCATGAGAACAATCAGGTGTTTTTCCTCACAGGTGTGTTTATTCAAGTCGTTTATTTAGATCAAATTTCCTTTCCTGCTTTACCTTTCTTGGTCACGGTGGAGCTGGTGTCTCTAGCACTGTGAGACGAGGGGGACACCGTGGACATGTCTCCAGTCCATCACAGGGACACACAGAGACAAACAGCCATTCACTCTCACTCAAACTAATTTAGTTACCAGTTAACCGAACTTGCATGTTTTTGGTCTGTGGAACAAGGAGAACATGTCGACCACACAGAAAGGACCCAGCTGGGACCCGAACCTGCAACATTGTTGCTATGAGGCAACAACTTCAACCGTTTTCCCACTGTGCCGCCTGATGTTAACTTTCCTGTCAAGCTTGGAGTCATTTTGAGCCAAAGGTCAATATTTGTTGAGTCTGCTGCTTCAGAGTTTCTCTAAAACTAAAGCCACGTAAACTTCAGATCAAAGTAAAATATCCATTTTGTTTCCTGATTCCTGTCAGAACATATTGATCGTTGACTGATCCACAGTCATGGATACTTGTCAAGCATCTCTCAATTGACTCGGATCACGTAATAAACACTTTATTTAAAACAAAAAGCTTTTCAGTTCTGATCTTGGTAGTTTGAAAGTTCGTGTTTTAGTTTAACCTACGATGACAAACAGGCTGCAGTAAGCACAACATCTAACATCCCATAATTAAGCTGATTGTCTTAACAACAGCTTTAGTGTTTAACGTGCGTTAGCCTTTCTACGTTGGGGTCACCGACTTTTTAATCCGGTTGAAGGTCAACACTTTAAAAACATAATCTCCCACAAAATATGTGTCTGTTGTTCGACACCCCCCTGCAAACACGGAAGAACCTGTTGTGTGTGAGGACGCCTTATGGTTTAGAGTCATTAATAATTTATCATGTCCTTTGGTTTAGATGATTGCTGCCCAGAAACAGCTGATTGAGAGCGCTGATGGAGTTCAGGAGAGGATCGACCAGGTGCACAGAGAAGGTAAAGTGTGAAGAGCAGGAGGAACGGTTGGACACGAGACGAAGGAAACCAGATTTGACCTTGACTTTAACTCCTGCACTGTCACATCCAACACATACTCGGGGTGAGATTCAGGCTCACGCATTATTTAAACCTGTTTTCTTCGAGTGTTGCTTTTCTGTCTGACACTGAGCGAAACCATCTCCATGAGACTGAAGGCGTCTAAGCAGCAGTCACCATATTAGACAGCAGCTGACCTTTAGATGCAACAGTAAATGTCAGGAGAAGGTTGACGTTTGCACAGATATGCCAGTCCAGTGACATCACGTTCACGTTGACTCTCGCCTGGCGGTTTGTTGCAAAGGTTTGCATGAATTGTCCCTGAGGTTGACAGCTGAGCCTGTCCAGAGATTAAACCGTTGATACACTCGGCTCCTGGTGTTTGACAGGCATGGACTTCCACGAGGATCTCTCCCGTCTTGGTGAGAAGGAAGGACTGAAGGGACGCAAGCTGAACAAAGCAGTGGAGAGCTTCACCTGGAACATTACTGTGCTCAAGGTACCAAAACACACGAGCATCAACGCTTCTGTCTGCTTTGTACCCACTTTGGCAGCCACGCCCCTCTTTAATCCAGATTATTTATAAAGCGCCAATTTACACCGAAAGTCATCTCAGAGCACTGAACAGAAACATTCACATCCATTTTAAAACGCCGGTTAGTAAAAGTGAAATATCCAAGGAAGCTGCAGATTGTGTCAAAGCTTCACGTTCTCACCATCTCCCATCCTTAAGAAGAACATTGAGAGTGAAAGAGTGCAGCTCCCTTTGAACTGGATTTATTCACCTTTACTGAACCAGGCAGCTCCCACTGAGATCACAGATCTGTTTGTTCTGGGAGGCCTGGACCTGAAGGCAGACTAACATGCAGGACTTTATACTGTGGGAGGAAACTGGAGTACCCAGGTAAAACCCATGCAAACATGAGGAGAACCTGTGAACCACACAGAAAGACCTCCAGTCCAACCCGGGGATCGAACCCAGGACCTTCTTGCTGTGAGGCAACAGTGCCAACCGCTAAGCCATCATGTTGCTAAAGGAAGAAACCTTCAACAGAACCAGGCTCAGGGTGGACAGCCACCAGCTTTGACCAGCTGGGATGAGAGGACAAGACAGAGACACAGGTCCAGGTGTGGTTTGTAAGGTCCATGCAGGTCCAAACAAAGGAAATAGAAGTTATCCATCCATCCATCCATCCATCTGTCATCCATCCATCTGTCATCCATCCAGATTATTGATGGCAATAATTACAAATGAAAACAGGAGCATAGAGAATAAAGTCAGCAGTGTGGTCAGCTTGTCCTCAGCAGTCAAAACCTATAGTGGTAGAACTAAAATGAAAGCTTGGGAAGCCCAAGTCAACCCTAACTATAGGATTTATGAAAAAGGAAAGTCTTCAGTCCAGTCTTAAAACTGGACAATGTGTCAGCCTCACTGACAGAAACTGGAAGTTGGTTCCACAAGAGAGGAGCCTGAGAACTGAAAGATCTTCCTCCCATTCTGCTGCTGGAAACTCTAGGAACCACAAGTAAACCTGCAGTCTGAGCGTGAAGTGCTCTGTTAGGAAAATATGAAACGACAGGACAAGATGGCTCAAGTTTTATTAAAGTTTAGAGCTTTGTAGTGAACATGAGTCCATTCGTATCTCCCTGTGTGCTTTAGGGGCAGAGCGATCTGCTGCGTGGAGCTAAGATGGATTCCCTGGACGCCCTGCGGCAGCTGGCTCTGGCCTGCGAAGCCTGCGGACTCACCTCCTCGTCCCCCAACTCCTCTTCCAGCTTCTCTACGGCTGAGCTGCACTACTCCTCCCACCCCACGCCAGGCCGGCGGAGCAGCACGCACGGCAACGGACGCATCTGACCTCTGACCTCTGCACCAGAGCTGGCAAAGGGTTTCAGAGGAAAACCGATGAGACGATGTAGAGAGACGGCTGCAGACCAGCGGTTCAGCCAGTGTAGTAAAGTCCGCAGCAGGAAAACACTTTGGGGACGTGCATTTCTTAGAAAGGTATTCAGTCGGCAAATGGATCATCGTTAAAAAGCTGGTCTGATGAGGTAAACGGAAGGAAATGAATGTTGGATGCTTTGCAGCTGATGTGAGCTCTGCACACATGGTCACTTTGTTAATGGTAGAAAAAAAAACAGGTTTGAACAGACTGTGTTTCTAAAACTTACTAGAGTTTCGAGGAACTTCTGCTGTTGTTGTTGGACGTAACTGCAGTCGATGCTTAACATGAACGGGTAAACCCAGTTCATCAAAAACCAACAGACGTAAAATTAAAAAACAAAACAACTGGACTCTGCACGCTTCCCAACTACAGGAAGGAGCTTTCTCATTTAAAAAAAAAAACCCTGAAGGTTTCAAACTTGGATCCTCCGTCACGTAAACTAGAATTTCAATGTAGATTAACTCCACTCCCCCCACAGTGGAGAGTCTTTAGTAGAGCCCGGCCGATATGGGAATTTTGGCTATCACCGATACTGATATTGGAAGCAGAGTCAGCCACCAATAACCAATATAATGGCTGAAGATTTTTGAGCTTTGTCCAACCCCAAGAATCTAAGAAAACATGGAGTGGAGCGGGGCTTGTTTATTTAGCGCAGCTGTTAGCAACCACGAAGCTAAGCTAATCAGATCCATGCTATACGTAGTCCCACAGCAGGTTTACTGTGGAGCACTGGTCATAAAAACAGTCTTCATAACGTGCGTTCACATTTTCTATCCTCCACTAATCAACATGAAGTTATCAGGTGTTACAAAAATATGAATTAAAGAAAAGATATGTCCTTCCTGTTCATTATTTAAACAGTCAGTCTCGTCTGGTGAAGGTCTAATTAGTTTGATCGCAGCAGAGTTTAGGTTTTTTTTGTATAGAAGTAAATATTTCAGACAAACTATGCATTTCAATGAGGACAACAAAGATAATGTTACTAACTCTGATGTATTTTACCTCTACGTTACATTTATTGTTCTGGATAAAGTTTTACAAGACACTAGTCTATGCTAGGTTATCTAAACGTTAGCTTGCTAACGTGAGAGGCACATAGCTAATGACAAGCAGGTTGGAGGATTGAAGAGAATTTATTGTTGTTTATTTTAACTGATCTGAAAAATAAATAAACTTGCTCTGTTCAGTAAATTATGCTGCAGTGTTGCTCCCTGCTTCGGCTGTGCTGAGAGTGAAACTTAAGTGAACGGTCATGACTTGAAAGTAGTCTTCATGCGCCCTCTGCTGGATACATTGTACAACTGCAGCTGGTTCCAGCATCTTAGAGGTGGAAATTAGAAATGTTTGTATCTGAGCATAATGGGACATGTCACCGATACGATACGTCCTCAAAGGTCTATATCGGACTAAAATATCGGCTCTACTGATATATCGGTCGGGCTCTAATATTTAGTCTTTTTTTAATTTAGCTCAGAAAGTTTTATGTTTGGGAGGCGAAACATTTTCAACTACAAAATAGAAGCCTAGGCATTTTATATTTTAATTAACGGATCCTGAAAACTCCATTCTGAGAGGAGTGAGTTTAATCTAACGTAACAAACCTGCAGTTTCAACGCTTCAAACTCAGAAAGTGAAACGTCTTCAACGATAGAAGTCCAGTTGTTTTGTCATTTTAATTATTATTTTATTTATTTACCATGTCCTGGATGGTAGATCTAAATGCTGCAACTGTTATTAGCATTTGTTTTACTGAAATGGATGAATTATTCATCTTGTCAGGTTTTATTTATGTTTTTATTTTTTTGAGAGCTACAAAGAAAAATGCTTTCAGGTAAAAGGAAAACCAAAAAGCCATTTGACAGATTAATCATTCCTTTTCTGTGTAATGAGCTGTGGATTCGATCACATCCTGCTGTGATCATGAAGGTCCCTCGCTCACCGAGTTGGTCATCAGAACAGAAAGGGACGAAAAACGTCTGGAATGTGATGCCATGAATCAAAGAAGAGGTTTTCCATGGAACAGGTTCCAGGGCTGGTTAAAGCTCTGGTTCCGGACAGTCCAGAACTAGTTAGGCATCCTTCCATCACATCAAACATCTGGATTGGTTCACCATCCTGCAGGTTTTAGATGTTCCTCTGCTCCGACACACCTGGTTTGACCCATCGAGGCTTCTGTAGAACCAGAAGACCTGCTGAGGAGCAGAGAGATGCCCTGTCCGCACAGATCACAGGGTTTGTCTTGTTTCTCCTGCAAAGAGTCTTAATTTAGTTACAACAGGTCCTGCCGACCGGTACTTTAAAACAATCTCAGATTGTATCAGTAAATGCTGCTGCAAACAAAATGTAGCCGGTTTCAAACAGGATCACCAGCCGGCGAGACTAAAAAAATATACATCTAGAAATGGTGCTTCAAGCAGTGACTGAGCTGAGAACAGCACATTTAACTTCTTGTTCATGTTAAAGAGAGTGTTTAAATTAAGCACAAAAAAATTAAACCAAAACTGTCAGGTCTTCAAAGCGTGACACATTTTCATTGGTCGTTGGTCTCCATGAGCCCGCCTCCTGAGCTGTTCTTCACATTGTCCCAGTAAAGATTTAATGGTCGCCCCAGATTTGGATGGAAACAAACGGAGCTTCAGTTTGACGCTGGAGCCCGTTCAGTGGAACAAAACCCAGGAAGGTTTATGTCAGTTCTGCAGTGCTGCCCGCCTGTCGCCTGCTGCGGCGTCCGTCGCCTGCTGCGGCGTCTGTCGCCTGCTGCGGCGTCCGTCGCCTGCTGCCTGCTGCGGCGTCCGTCGCCTGCTGCGGCGTCCGTCGCCTGCTGCGGCGTCCGTCGCCTGCTGCGGCGTCCGTCGACTGCTGCGGCGTCCGTCGACTGCTGCGGCGTCCGTCGCCTGCTGCGGCGTCCGTTGACTGCTGCGGCGTGTGTCACCTGCTGCAGCGTCTGTCGGCTGCTGCCCCCCTGTGTGGCTGACGTGACCTCACATCCCTGCATCCAGGAGGAACGTACTCCTGCAACACAACAAGCGACTTCCTGCAGGAGCAGCAAGAATTAGTTTGACGATGGAGATCGTCAGACATGAATCAGGTCTTTGGGTGTTCCTCCTGGCCTGCATGTGTTTGTGTCAAAAAACAGGAAACAACTTGGATCTTCTTGTTTCAACATTTTTTTTACTCTGTTGTGTTTTAACTGAACTTCACATGAAGCTAAACGGGACCAAAGTGACCCAAACTACAACGAGACCTCCACAGTCTCACAGTAACCAAATGATGATGTCATTTTCAAAATGGCCGGATCCATTGTTGCAGCCTATGGTTTAAAGCAGAGGTTCCCAACCCTGGTCCTTGAGGAACACCATCCTGTGTGTTTTAGCTGTTTCCTTCTCCAGCACACCTGATTTGAATGAACGAGTGATTAACCGGCTTCTGCAGAACTTGATGTAATTAAATCACTGAGTCCGGTGTGCTGGAGCAGGAAACAACTGAAACGTGCAGGATGGCGTTCCTCAAGGACCAGGGTTGGGAACCGCTGGTTTAAAGGACAGGAGGCTCTTGTTGTGGGCTGCAGGGAGACCCTCCGACAAGTTCAGGGACAGACTGAGTGAAGGACTCTTAGTCCTCTGGCTGCTGAACGACTGATCTGATGTTCTCAATCTGGATGCTGACTGTACGTTTGACCGTGTGTGTGTGTGTGCGTGCGTGCATGTGTGTGTGTGTGTGTGTGTGTGTGTGTGAGAGAGAGAGAGAGAGAGAGAGAGAGAGAGAGAGAGAGAGAGAGAGAGAGAGAGAAGGATTAGGAAGGATACAAAAGAGGCGGTGCAGGTTAGAGGAGGACTGCTGGATTAACTTCTGCTTCCTGGTGGCTTCACCTGCAGAGCTCCATCATCGGCCTCACCTGCTGCGTTCGCTCTGAATTCAGCTCCGACTCCCCTCGTGTGAGTTCCTGCAGCTGTGTTCACATCTGGCTCTTTACCGGGTTTCTTCCCTCTTGGATGCTCTGAATCGGATCAGATGTTTGTTTGGAACAACTGAACCCCGAGAGGTGAAACGAGGCATTTCAGGAAGACCTGCAGTGATTCGTACGTCAGCCATGTCAGGGTCAAAGTTCATGGATGTTTTTAATACGACGGCCCATGAACCAGGTGTTTGAGTTAGCAGAGACAGCTCCTCCTGACTGGTCTCCAGCTCCTCCTGACTGGTCTCCAGCT